ATATATATATATATATATATATATATATATATATATAAACAATTGCAAAAACACAACAAAATTACTAAAAAAATTACTAAATTGAAATTAAAATACAATAAAAAATACAAAAATAAAGAATAATTAGATTTTTTTTTCAGAGGTTGAAACCAGTTTGAAAAGTCAGAGCAATTCCTTTTCTTCTACTTACAAAAAATAAAAAATAATAATAATGTCTCGCACTCGCACAGTGTACCATGATAAAAAAATGAATACCTCCTTTATTTTTTGTGTATTTATTGTTATTGCTATACATGAATTTATAATAATTTAACAGAATAATCAGTCTTTTTTATTGATTTATAGATTTTTTATTTTGTAGTTTGGGTCGTCGTATTAAGTGACAGTTCATATCTGGACAAAGAAACAAAGTCATACCTGGTCAGGTTCTTGATTTCTGCAGGGATATTCTTCAATCTGTTTCCTCCAAGTGACAGGGACTGTAGCGTGGTCATTTTGAGAAACTGCACGGGAATCTCCCCAAACCTGTTCCCACTCAGATTCAGAGTCTCTACCTGCATGCGCTCGAACTCCTTAGGGAACGAGGACTCGTCCAGAAGATTGTTCTTTGCTACAACCGTCTTCAGGTTTGTTAGGCGCATAATGTAATCTGGTATGACTGTGAGCGCATTACTGCTGATATCCAGATATTCCAGGTTAGACAGAAAACAAACGGAAGTTGGAAGAAGCAATAACCGATTGTAAGTGAGATGCAGCTGCTGGATTTGTTGTCTTTTACTATCCGTGAGATGATCCAAGTTCAAGTCGTCCAGCTGCAGACGCGATAAATGTAAAACAGCACACTTGTCGTCCATGCTTGGGAAACGAACCATATGGACTACTTAGCCTAGTAAAGCAAAAAATAATAATAAAACAGGAATTCAATAAAGCAAAGTATCACACTTTTTAACGGTGCAACAATCTAAAAAGTTATCGCTTTGGAGTTTTTGTCTTGAATTATAATCCATACACATGTATTATATATATATATATATATATATATATATAGATGATCCCCTTTGCCTAAAGTGACTAAACTGCAGCTGTGCGAAGTGCACTGCACGCGCCTGACAGAAGACTTTGGTGGTTTTATCTGTACTGGAGTGCGCTCAAGTGTCACGCGGCTCACGTCTCCTGCAGTCAGTGGTTGGTCATCCAGGGGCCAAACATGATGCAAGTTTGTTGCGTCTCATTAGTGTCTTATGCGACCCTGCACGTATGGTTTTAGTGGTTTATATGAAAACCTGTTGACATTCAGCACAGCAGGTCTACTTGTTTTAAGATAGATTAGTGATTGATAGTGATGAAGCATAAATCTACTGTACACTGTTAGATAGATACAACAAAAAGGCATTTGCTGTACTATATTCTTTTTTTTCCGGCATGACCCAGGGCTTATACTTAAGTCATAACAGTTTGTGAGGTTATAAAACTAGCCTACATGTAGTCATATTTTACACTACATAATAATAATAATAATAATAATAATAATAAAATAAAAATTGAGTGGGTTTTTGGACACATCTTACCGTAAATGCAGTAAAGTACTTAGCAATTAAGCAATCACTTAAGTCTTAGTAATAATGATTTTGATTACAGGATAATGGCAATATATACTGTAGACGTTACAATCAGACATGCCCATTCGGCAGCTGTGATGCCTGATTACTCGATTAAACTTGGCCCAGGTTTTCTTGTCTTTTAAGATTATTGCTTTATAGTTTTATTAATTGATTGCCAGTTAAGGTTAATACACGACAGGGATGATTTATAAATAGCTGTAGTATTTCCTTGCTGAAAACAAAAAACCCTGTTTACCAACCTAAGCTGGTTTAAGCTGGTCTTAGCCAGTTTCAAATATCTCCTAGCCCGGCCAGCTGAAATGAACAAACAGATCAACCTGACCAGCTTTGTTCTGAATTCATTCTGAATTTATTAATGCAAAGACATCACAAAAATAATAGGAATTCCTGTTGACAGGTGTTGAAAGGTGATGTAAATTCAACACTGTTGAATGTATAAAAATACTATTACAAAAAGGTCTGCAGTAATTTACAGTACAGGTACAGATCATACATACTCTTATTGTCCCATACAAATAATAAAAAAAGACTATAACAGAAGAGAACACACCTTTGAATACGTCAATAATTATTATAATAAACTAAGCAAATTAAGCTTTATCTTTCCTGACTGACTGAAAGCAGAAATCTGGGCAAATGTTCATCCCTCCTTCTGAATTACTCCTCAGACCTCTTGGCCACTTTCATCTTCTCCATAGTTTCCTATGAGGGTGAAAACAGTTAAAAAGTTACACATTTTATTTGCTTTAGGTCCATGAAGACCCAGCCAAACAAAACATAAGGTTGGTATGTTTAGAAAAATGCACATCTGTGACGAGTGGGGCGGGGCCGCGAGCCGTGGGAACGGAGTGTGGCCGG